TCCTTTATAAGATAATCCCCAACTTTGATCATCCCTTCCAATCAAATCCACAAATTCGTAGTCATTAGTTTGAAGCACAGCTTCCTTTGTCCCCACACCAATCATGATTGATGTGCCAAAGACAGAGCTTAGCTTGACTTCCCAGTAATGTTGCCCATGTGTGAAAGCTTTAGTACCACGGACACCAGCTGTTCCCGTACTCTCAATCACTGGATCAATGTAAAAGCATGCGACTTTGTTATTAAGGCAAAGGTACACTGATGGTGACTTGTCTTCACTGCTCCACACCCACGGTTCATGGTATGTATCAGACCAAGAGTGGAAGGAGGCTGGGTTTGTACTTTGTTGATTGGAAAGAATTCCTGTAATAAAATGAAACAATATTCCAATGAGCCATTCTGTTGATTAACTCAAGCTCACAGCTGCATTGTTCCACAGGACAAGTAATAACTGTCGTAAATGTTAAAGTAATGGTAGGCTGTATTTCACTCGATAGACTGCTAAATTCAAAATTTGTTGTGTGCTGATTCATGGCAATAAACTTTGCAAAAACTGTTAGCTTCTTTTGGTTTTTAAAAGGTATGTTTTAATTTGGCCTCTAAGAGTGATAATAAAATTTCCCTTTCAAGAGGATTTTCTGCAAGTAATTCATCAATGGCTGTTCTGTTTGCTTTGAAATCTTCACCTCTCAACCCACAAAAATGATGAATATCTTACCAACCTTGTTTTCTTGGTCCCTACTGTAAGTTAGGGAACCTTGCTATTTGTGCTCGGATTTATGGCTTTTTACCTTGTACTTGGCCCATAAATCGGGGCAAAAAACTTGGTCCTCATTACTTACAACATGGACCCTGAACTCAGTTAGTACAGGGTATTGATCTGCCTGCAGATCTGTCAGACCACTTAAGTACAACTACAACACTGACATTTAACAAAAAAGTCAGTTCAGGATTGTATGCACTTTACCTCAATACCTCAAAAACACTTCCTTTTTCATCAAGACTTGCGCCTTGACATGGAGAAGGAAGTTCAACCATTAGAAGACCAACAAGTGCGTTTAACTGTACATCTCCCATGTGCAGCTGAAATATAATAATATGCCAGGCCTTAAGTTTAATTTCTTAACTAACAGCTAGTGAATTCCATAAGCAATAACTAGGCTAACAGTGATAAAAAAATCAACCAGGTATATCTATGTATGTGTTAGATTACTTANATTTGAAGCTCAGTACAAATTGTGTTAATAACAAAGAAAAGAGTTATTGTTGTTCGTTCAAGCTTTAAAAATACTGACCGCTGTTTAGAACGAGCTGTACAAAAGACAATGACGGTAATATGTGCATTAGAGTATGTTTTTTTTTTTAAAATCTCGAATGGTTGGAAGTATAGCTTTTCCTTACGGTTTCCTTTATTCCCCTGAACGCCGAACCTATTTCATGTTAAGTATGTTAAGGTGAAGAATTGCACAGAAATTATTACAGTGTTTTTTTCCAGATCAAGTAATACAAGGACTTCAAAATTCAGATATAAATATCAAACGCACAAACGCAAACAAAGCAATATGGTTGACATCTTTCGATGCAAAGGGCAGAGTGAGAATGACATTGCAAAGTGAAAGATGTAAAAGTAACCTGCATTGCTTACCCATTTTGTACTCCGGGGATAAAAACTTCAGTCTGATGTAGGACTTTCCACAACCTACTTGTACGCAATAGCTTCCTATCGTAAAAATCGAACAGGTTTTGCACTTTTGCTATATATCGAGTCACGAGAAGGATATCTCTCCAAACTTACGCTAACTGTTAATTCGCTGAAAGAATCTAGGTTCAAGTTTTTTGAGAGCCTTTAAACCACGACTTAAACTATCCAAAATGCGTGTTTTGAAGCACATTTATCTCCCTCACTTGTTTTGAGCGACATAAATATTTTGAACCGGATGAGATCTCGTGACCAGCAATAAGCGTATTTGATTGGCTACATAGAAGCCCGCAAAACCGGAAAGGCTTGATTTTTTGTAAACACTGCGAAGACGTAAATACTAGATCAAAACAAAGATACGTGACTGCGGCGGTAGTAACTCCGGGGTATTCACTTATTTGGCCTCAAAGGGTATGTGCCGCAGAAAAGAGTCTGGTTTTAGGGGTTCCGAGTCAAATCTTAAACTGGGTCGGTTCAATATGTTATTTCCCTATTTGTCGTCTTGAACAGGGTGTCCTTCTAGACCAGAAGCCGTGAACGGGGCGTCAACTTTGGTGGTGTACATGTGTGGTTAGTCCTTGGTAGCACTGCCCCACCCAATCTTCCCTTACGATCACCCCATCCCCCCGCCCCTTCCTTGAATCGTATTACGCACAGATACTCCTGAGCGGTCTGGCAGTGCCACATGACGCCGATAAACATTTTCACATGTTTTCACTGGTGTTTCCAACAGTGATGAAGACTGATGAACAATTTTAAATTCCAGCGAGGAAATTTGTAATGGCTCTGCAACTTCTGCTCTGTACAGAAATGCAACGAGGACCACTAGAAAGTCTAGAAAGATATGCAAGGAGCGTTCCGTGACGACACTAAGGGCTGCGAGGGAGACCAACGGAAAGCGGTCAATCCAGTTTTATACACATGAGACAATGCATGATTACAAGTTTGGAGGCGGGACCAGGGTGTGTAGAGGGTGTGTTAAAACAAAATGATCAGGACTTGATCACGGTGAATTTGCGCATCTCTGTTCAATAAATATCTATAAAACCAAGGATTTATTTTTTACTTTGTTTCTTTTAATAAAGAAATAATAAGTAAAAAATACCATAAAGCATTCCCCATTTTCTGTGCAAAGCTGTCGGCGTGAAGGTGCTGATTAAGGTTTTTTGGTTTTGATCTCCTTCACCTTATTAAAGGACACTTTGTTTTCTGCAATCAATACTACTTCTGTGTTTTTTGTGATCCAGACCTTTGTCTACGGCGGATAGCCCTACCCGAACTCATTGGTCGCGGTTTTAACGTCATTTTGTAGCTCTCGGAAAGTTTATAAACTTATGCCCTGGGATTACAACTCTTGAATATTCAATCAGATTACGAAATTGTCCAATAATTTATCTGCAGGCGCGTATTCGTTGAACGTGTTTTTGCTGAGGCTTCCAAAAACTTCCTCTTACGAAAGAGTTCACCAAAAGTTCGCGTATCCGTGCACTCTCGCTCGCTTCGCTTCACCGCACCCGGATGCTGCTGACGCAATATCGTACGTCTTCTACTTCATCGTACCTCACGTTTTCCTTTTTAGATAAAATTCTTTACCCTTCATTTGAAATTTATAACCAGAAACTTATCCCTTTTCTCTGTATAACTATGAATTTTCAATTCTTCATAAATATATAATTATTTGTCATGAGAAATTAAAAATGTTGTGTGAATTAAGTGCCTCAACGAGCCCGCGATAACAGGGGAAGGACAGCAGATAACCAAGTAAGAGTATTAATTTTTGACGTAAACAAGAAAGCTCAGTTTGAGCAAAGCTAACGAAGAAGAAGGTTGTTTTTTATATTTTCACGCGAAATTGGAAAAGCTTTTTCTTAAAGGCTTAACCGGTTGGGAACTCATTTATGGCCTTAGTCCACACAAGTTATTACGCGCATCCGTTGGAAAACTCGCGACTTTCGCAGCGCGAACTTCTGGCGCGCATTTTCGGCTACCCAGACCGGGAAACCGAAGACGAGCCCATGGAGGTTGAAGAATGCCTCAGTGATTCAGGATCGGACCATGAAATGGACGAATATCATAAAGGTATGATTTCTTAGTTGTGTTCGTGGATAGTTTTATAACAACCAAAAGGTGGTCGCGGAGGTTTTGGATCGAAAAGTAGAACGTGGATCTTTGCATGCATGAAAGCAAACATGGGGTAATGAAAATTAAATATGCCGAACGTGGCGTTTTTGTCCGTTTCATTCTTCACTATCCAAATCTTTTTTGTGTGTACGTTGAAATTATTTTGGCCTCTCAGTTGAAGCACAAATGATTGAGTGTATTTTAATTGAGCTTTATACAGCGCTCTTCTCGAGGAAAACGAACTTTGTACCGTCACAAACACGAAACGACAGGATTTGCATATGCAAAGCTAAAAGGCTATATATGTAAAAAAAAAACAGCTGCTTCCCTCAAAGATCCTTTCAATATAGAATTAGAAAAGCCTGTAAAATTCTTTTACAGCAAGAGTTTTTTTAAAGGTTTTTTCGTATTTTTGAAGTAAATTTTCCCTTGTGTAAAAAGAACAGAACAGTTTTCCATGCAGTTTCCTGTCCGGTCGGCATGAAAACGCTGAATTGTGCATGTTTTCTCTTGTCGTTCGTGCTGCAGCTTTTGGAAATGATATTGTTCAATTACCACATTTTATTCCTTCACGTGATCGTCTTGTGGCAATATATGCTTTCCAGTTTCGTGCCAAAAAACGTAAAATTTCGTTTTCTTCGGTGCGTGCACTGAAAACTCTTTGGGCGAGGTTCGTCACGACCAGCTTGTTATTAGAAGTGGATTTTTACCNAACGTGGATCTTTGCATGCATGAAAGCAAACATGGGGTAATGAAAATTAAATATGCCGAACGTGGCGTTTTTGTCCGTTTCATTCTTCACTATCCAAATCTTTTTTGTGTGTACGTTGAAATTATTTTGGCCTCTCAGTTGAAGCACAAATGATTGAGTGTATTTTAATTGAGCTTTATACAGCGCTCTTCTCGAGGAAAACGAACTTTGTACCGTCACAAACACGAAACGACAGGATTTGCATATGCAAAGCTAAAAGGCTATATATGTAAAAAAAAAACAGCTGCTTCCCTCAAAGATCCTTTCAATATAGAATTAGAAAAGCCTGTAAAATTCTTTTACAGCAAGAGTTTTTTTAAAGGTTTTTTCGTATTTTTGAAGTAAATTTTCCCTTGTGTAAAAAGAACAGAACAGTTTTCCATGCAGTTTCCTGTCCGGTCGGCATGAAAACGCTGAATTGTGCATGTTTTCTCTTGTCGTTCGTGCTGCAGCTTTTGGAAATGATATTGTTCAATTACCACATTTTATTCCTTCACGTGATCGTCTTGTGGCAATATATGCTTTCCAGTTTCGTGCCAAAAAACGTAAAATTTCGTTTTCTTCGGTGCGTGCACTGAAAACTCTTTGGGCGAGGTTCGTCACGACCAGCTTGTTATTAGAAGTGGATTTTTACCGGCTTCTGTCGAAATGCGTAATCCGCTCTGACAATCATAACACATAATCCTTTAATACAAATTTATAGATATGTCAATGTTAATGGTCTTCGCATTGAGTCGCTCAGAAAGCCGAAATTTTGAATTTCTGTGCGGCTTGGTTCAGCTGAATTTTAAATGTTTGACATATTTTTGATCCAAGAAAATAATTTTTTATTGGTACGCTTGGAGTGTTTTGCTGATGTGTAATCTACTAGCACTAGCTTTAAAACAGCCACTCGACAAAAATGTGAAGATTTGAGATATTTGAAATGGGTATATTTTATTGCTTGTTTTCAATATTATTATAAAATGTCCTCGCCCTCTCAGAGGGGTACAAATGTTCCCAGTCTGAATTTCAAAACCAGTCATTTGGCATACCGAGGAGGAGGACATGTTCCTGTCAGTATATTACTGTTGAGTTTGTTTCGATAACCTGGGGCTAGTGGATTTTGTTTTTTGGCTAGTGATTTGTTTTTTGGCTAGTGATACCGAGGAGGAAGACATGTTCCTGTCAGTATATTACTGTTGAGTTTGTTTCGATAACCTGGGGCTAGTGGATTTTGTTTTTTGGCTAGTGATTTTTGTTCTTAACACTCGACGGGCAAGTGCTGTTTTTTGGGGAGATTCAAATGGATTGTAAACAATCCTGATAATCAAAAAGGGTTTGTATAGGTAATAGCATGATTAGTAGTGATATTTGACATAAATACCACGAGTGATATTTCAAAATTGTTACACGTAATTTCAGGAGCCGTTAGGCGAGTGAAATTTGAGACAATTTTGAAATATCACGAGTGGTATTTACGCCAAATATCATGTACAAATCATGCTATTAATTGTTTATACTACTACCTGCAAAAGGTTGTAATTTTCACATGCAGGTATTTCAAATTAAGCTGAAAAACCACTGCTCTAAGCCAATCAAATTGCAGATATTTCTCATGTAGTAGTATAATGGAGCTAATTGAAATGACTTGTGGGCTAGTATTTGCTAGCTACAGCTTGCCCGAATTGCAGGCTGTAAAACTGACTTTCTTTGCACCCTGCTTAAGCAACAAGAACATTGACGTCCTGGATGTCAAAAATGGCACCCGGAAGTTGATATTTTCTCTCTTTTAGTGTGACTCGACAAATTCGTACATTGGGAGTTAAAACAAAGACTGTTAAATTCGTTGTGTGAGATAAAAGTGTTCCATCAAGTGAGACATCAAACTTCTGGTTGCTATTCATAATGTCTGGGATGTCAGCGTTCTCGTTGCTTAAGATCACGGTGTAATTTGTCAAATGTCGCTGCTTCAAGGCCATGTCACCTGTAGGGATTTTACCCTTACTGGGCCTGTATTATCAAGGATATCTGTCTGAAGGTATTCCTGGAGACTATTCTTTTTTTTTTTACCACATATCTGCTTGTTTCATGACTTTGTAAAAAAAACCTTCAAATTTAACCACACTTTCATATATTTAATGTTATTTAGCATTGACACCAGGAGAAGGGAAAAATTTTTGATGGAATGAAGGAATTTCTTAAATTTAAATTTCTCAAACGTGGTCAAGACTTTACAGTTTTACCTTTTTTCAATAGAACTGAGGGAGAAAAGAAATAACCTAATGGGCAAATGATCCAAAACCAGCTTGCAACCCCTAGGATAAAGACTGTTAATGCACTGTGTTGATAACAGAAAAATCAAAGTTAAGGCCTGGCATATTATTATATTTCAGCTGCACATGGGAGATGTACAGTTAAACGCACTTGTTGGCCTTCTAATGGTTGAACTTCCTTCTCCATGTCAAGGCACAAGTCTTGATGAAAAAGGAAGTGTTTTTGAGGTATCGAGGTAAAGTGCATACAATCCTGAACTGACTTTGTTGTTTAATGTCAGTGTTGTGGTTGTGTTCATTCATATTGTTTGTGCAGTGTTTTTGTTGTACTGTATTGTAAGTTTTTTGTGTTTCTGTCATTTTATACATTCATAGAATCCTTTAGCTTCATTTGCCATTGTATTGGCTGCAGCTATTTGGCAAAATAATTAAATTGGACAAGCCAACCAACTTAATTCGGACAGAATTTTTTTGAAGAGTAAAATTGATATTTCCATTATTTGTTTTGGCAACCTGTTTATACACACAGTCCATGCAGAGGCAACTAAGATAAGTGGTTGTTCTTCCTTCTCCAGTTGAGACTTTTACAAGTCTTGATAAAAAAGGAAGATAGGCCTCAAACTTAGGTATAACTTGTATGGTAGGAGATGCTCAAATTTAATAATTTTGTTCATTAAGTTCTTTTGTTCCAGTTTGGTTTTTGATACGTTGACGCATAATAATGAGTTAAAAAACAAATTGTATGAAAATGTAAATTATGCTTATCGGTTATGTAAAATTAATCTCTTATATTTTTGCTCTTTGCTGTTATGTGTTGTACCTTCATATTATTCTAGTACTTTTCAACTTGAAATTGTAACCAAACTATTGCCATAGAAATGCTAAATACTGTAGAGTTCGTTACTTGTTTTGCAAGCATGAAAAGGTTAAGGAAATTGTAGCTGCTTAAAAAAATTATTTAAATTGAACATATCACTTGTACTGAAGTTGACTTATTGTAGTATTGACTGAAGAGAATAGTTTCGATGCTGTCCTGTTTGTATGCAAAGATGTGTTTAAGGAATTGACATTAATAAGTTCAAGCTTACTCCATGCAGCAGTTTAGCTTTGCCTGTAGAATAAAGCTTAATTTCCCTTTGTGCTACATTATTTTGCAGATTGTGAATGGAAATGGGATCCTGAAACACTTTCATCATCAGTATGCCTCACAAGAGGCAATAAAGAGGTGCTCTTTCACCCAGATTACAGCTGTGGAACTGCAGCAGCTAAAGGCTCACAGCCCCTTACACCAGGGGGAGAATACTATTGGGAGATTAAGATGACCAGTGCTGTCTATGGTACAGACATGGTAGGTGACATGTGACAGATTGTTTTAGAGCCATCTGACAGAGACAGAAACAGACAGATTAAACGGACATGGTAGTCAGTTCTGGATTTGGTTATAATTTACCAAAGTGACTCTTAAAAGACCTGCTACAGTCAAGACAACTAGCTGGCACCGTTTGTTTGGTGGGCTCTTGCTTTCACCCTGCAACTCCAATATTACTCTGATAAAGTGACTTTCTTTGTTGGACAACTCCACAGTAATCAGGACAGTGACAAATGTGTTGTATATACCGTACAGACTGACATACCCTGTTGACATTGACAAACTTGATGCACCTAACACAGAATGCTTGCAATAATGACATTCGCTCTCAACAAGCTACAATCTTCAAACAGTGATGCTCTTTATGCTGTATGGACTTACAGTTGACAGAAGAACTAGACATTGTATCCTTTATTTCTTCATTACGTGGATAAGATTCTGCACTTATTAAGACATCTCCTTTTTGTAATCCAGGAGAAGCCAGGCTATTGCTTAGTATACGTTTTTTTAGAGATATTTAGCTCCACAGAGACTTTCAAAAAAGTGGTTAATAATATGAATAGTTGTTTTCTCATAAGTCAACATTTCGTATCCAAATATCCATCATGGTAGTGATCTCTGTTGTTTTTTGCTGGGAATTAAGATTTGTACCATTTGACTAATACAGAATTTTGACATAAATGACATACCATACAACGGGGTGACTGCATTTACATGGATCTGTATGTGAATATAGTTAATTCATTAATTTTTTTTATGCATTTTAACCAGATGCTGGGAGTATGCACAAGAGACATGGACATCACTCAGCATAAAACCTCCTTCTGTAGCCTCATTGGCAAGGACAGTAACAGTTGGGGGTTATCCTACATTGGAAATTTTCATCATAAAGGAAAATCCCATAACTATACTTCAAGATTTGACCATGGTTCAGTAATTGGTATCCATTTGGATGCCTGGCATGGCAAGTTATCGTTCTTTAAAGACAATGAGCCACTAGGAGTGGCTGCTTCAAACCTTACTGGCAAAACCCTATTTCCTGTAGTTTCTTCAACTGCGGCAAGAACAAAGATGAAGCTGCAACGCAGTTCTTCCATGTCTTTTTCTCTACAATATCTTTGTTGTGCCACCATTGGTAAATGTCTTCCAAATCTTAAAGCAGTGGAGAGTCTGCCCATCCCCCCAGGGGTGAGGCGACATCTTTGTAATGAACTAGACTGGGTGGTGAAGGTTCATTTACCATCAAAAAGGAGCTGACACAGACACATTAATTACACACTGTTTTAAGTTGCTTTTATTTTACAAAAAAACTCAACACTGGGCTTCAGAGAGCTTATCAAAGACCATAGAATGGCGTAACTGCTTCTAAATGACTGTTGCTATTATTCTTTCTGTTTGGTGAAAATCTTGTTGAAATTAGAAACTAGGAGAACTTTAAATGTTAATTCAGCTATTTGAACGTTCTCAAAGTCATGGTTATCCTATAGGCTTAAAACGTAAAATGACTGGAGTCTTGGCATTTTTTCTTATGGAGAACTTGGAAAGATGGCTTTAGATTTAAATATTATTGTTGGTATTTGTAAGTTTCATAAAAAAGAGAGAACCAACAGTAAAGTGTGAGTAAATATGAGACAGAGAAAAAGGTGCTATTTATTATGTTATGCATTTCAAATCATGTTAATAAGTGTAAATAAGTAAATAATGGTATCAGTTTTTGGGTTGGAGAGAGAAACTAAGTTGATTGATAACAATAGATCATTTGTATTTTGCAGAGTTGTGTTTATAAAAGTCTTTTGTTGTTCCTTTTCAATGTTATTGTGAACAGCCCAGCTGTTAATCACAGAGTTTATAATAAAAAAATACAAGTTGAACATTTAAACGTTTTACTGGATGCCTGAAGTAACATATCAATCATAAGACGAATACGGTCTGCATTTCCTCTGTTAAGCGTGGTTATTTAAAAACTTGTCTAAAAGGAAGGGTACTCGTTGGAAGGAGGGCTCTTAAAAGATAACAGCATTTTGAAAGTTTCATTTAATATCCAGATACCTTGAAGTTAATTTCATAGTTGGCCAGGGAGGATTAAGTAATATATCATTGTACCTTGCAAGAAAGTGAGCATTATTTTGATGTATCTGCACAAATGATGTTAACTTATCCGAAAGGAATTCACCCTCGTCTAGTGCATTTAGACACTTGGCCTTTTTATGTTCCCCAGGGTATAGGCAGGATTTTTCCGGCGGTGCAAACTATTTTACAATCCCTGTACCCACTCCCCCTTCCTCAAGGTCCCAAATCCCAAGTCTTTTCCAGGTCTTTAGGGTGTGGCCAAGGTATCATACCTTCAGCTTCCCATCTGTGCGCCATTGTACCTAATTTTCTCTAAATACCGTAAATCCTCTATTAAGCCCCCCCTCTCAAATAAGCCCCCCTCTCTAATAAGCCCTCCCCCCCTTTTCAGAGGAGGAAAGTTAATAAGCCCCCCTCTCTATAAATGTGCATTTGTATTGGTTGAAAAAGCGTGATTTATGGAAGAAAAAAACATGCTGACAACACCCTTTGGCTATAAAAAAAAATGAAAATTTTTTTGAAAATTAAAAAGGAAGTGGTGGGGAATTTAAGGATTTCTTTATACCGTAAATCCCTTATTAAACCCCCTTCCAAAAAAGGCCCCCCCCCCCTTTTCAGAGGAGGAAAGTTAATAAGCCCCCCTCTCTATTAAGACTCCCCCTCCCCCAATCCTTATTCTTCACAAAAAAATTAACGATTAACGTGGATTGATCAGTTATGGTTTATTCAGGCTGGAAGTTCATATTGTTTTTGGTCTTCGGCCGCCTGACCTCCAACTTCATATACTTAACTTTCTCAACTTTGCGCTCTAGTTCTCTGTGGAGAAATACCGTATCATAAATTTCAAGGTTGTTTATATAAAACACTTAAATGCAAGAGATGAAAAATGTAAATATAAGAGGAGTTTTCCAGAGATTTTCGTTTGTAAGTTGTGTACGACAAATCAATACAGTACAAGTAACCATTCTCATAACAATTACCGAAGAACATGAGGCCGAAAGCACATTTTTGAAGAATAAGAATTTTGTTTTTGTTACTTTTAGGCTCCCACAACTGAATTAAATACTTTTGACAGTGACTTTAACTGTACAACGCGTAAGTCTACTCTCTCTCATACCACGGTATTTTTGCTACAGGTGATGCGTTTTGCTAAATCAAATAAGCCCCCTCTCTTTTAAGCCCCCCCTCAAAAGTGCTTGAAAAGAATAAGCACCCCGGGGGGCCTAATAGAGGATTAACGGTATATCATTTAATGAATCACTTCACTTTGCTAAAAACTGACTTTTGGGTGTGAAAAAAGCTTGTTGTTTTGGAAAAACATCATTTAAAGGAACAAGCAGACTTTGCTTTTTAAAGTAATTATTATTGTGCTCCATTTGAATGTTTTTTAATTATTATCATTATCTTTTTATTTATTTATTTATCATTACATTTTTTACCATCGCACTTTTCAGGTATGCACGGCAGTGTACCGTGCGTACAGGTAGCTACACCCCTGTTAAATTAGGGACTCTAAACTGTAGCTGCACAGTAAGTGAGTGCAACTGTTGCTAAACAGTGTGGTGGTTTTGGTGTTGCTAGAGAGCAGCATGTAGTGACAGTCCTTTGTTTGGACTAGATGTCTTAAATGTATCAAAGTTTCACAGTAATAGCCAAATTAAATAAATGCAGCAGTGCATTTACATGATTTTCACTACTCAGCTGGACAACACACGACTATGCCATTTTGATTTGTATAAAAACTCAAAACACCAAAGCCAGACACGGAAAGTACTTTCCCCGCCCCCCTCACCCCAAGAAAGAGCCAACTCCATCCAACAAAAATGTGGGGGGCGGGTATGTTTCCGCCGAACTCCTTACAGTAATTTTGCATACACTTATCTTTGAATGGAAACAATTGTTTTGGTGAGGGGGGTGAAGAGTTGTATGACATTTCAGACTTCTGTTATGCACAAGTCATTGACTTCCCCTAGCGATAGGACTACGGGCCAACTAGGGGGTTTGCCATAAAATGGGCAGAGTAAAGTTTACAATTTCCCTGGGGATTAGGGGAATTTGACAAGACAAAGTCCCCTTCAAGTTCTTCTCAATGAAAACTTCCCCTGATATCTTCCTCATGGGATTCATTTAAATGTGGGGACCTTTAATGATAGTCTGCGTAAACAACACTGTCAACAAAGACCACAAAATTTTGAATTCCCCAACCCCTTTGCTTTGAAGTTAAAACAATGCCGTCAATTTTCCCCTCTCCAGGGACAGAGAAACCCATCCATCCCCTCGTTTTCCCCAACATTCCTCTGGTTGGCCGCGGGTGGTCCTTTACACAGAACGCCGGTTCTTCTCTACGATGCAGGAAATCGCCCTCACTCTGCATTATGGCCTGGGAACAAGTCAGTGCAAAAATTGACAAACAAGATGGCGCCCAGGTAGGGGTTGTTCGTCGGAAGTGCTTGGAATAGATTACAATTTGGTCTTCCAGAGAGAGAATCTGAACTTTATAAGTCATTGTATTTGGGAAGCAAAACGCTATGTCGACGGCGATGGTTGCAGAAAGAATGGAGTCCACCAAGGAAATGAACGGTGAGCCTATTAATTTTCGATGTTCTGGCATGCACAAGTTTTGTCTCACGATGATTGCAGGAAGTAGGAGTTGTTACCGCGCTTTTTTCTTTTTTAATGTTGAGACTGTTTTTCTAAAAACTGGTTATTAAATACACTAGTGTGAGTGTAAAAAAGGGGGTAAGATTTACCGCAAATTTGCAGTTGAAACTCAGTTAGGGAGATTTGCTGAAAATAGCCAACCCCTCTTCATACTTCGCTCATGTGGCATTTCACACACAAAATTTTGTGGTTTTTCGAAGCTATTAAGTTTACAGCTGTTTATATATAGGCTAAGGAAATTCGTTTGGAAGAAAATTATATGTACGGCATGTACTTTTCAATTCTGGAAAACATTGTAGTATTTGTTGTAATTTGATACTTGTTTAAAATTGGCTATCGATACATTCGATAATTCTTGTCATTGATATCTAAGATAAATAATTATTACCGATGCTTACTTTGGATTATACCCCACATTCGAAATTTCTTTGGCTTACTCTTTTTCTCTCCGCTGAATCTTTTTACCCATTGTTTTTGTGGTTGACACTGTTTCAAAATTGAAAGTGAAAAGATATCAACAGAGAAGATTTTAAAGAGTTAACAATTGGACCACATTGAGAGATTTATTTACTCACTTCTTTTTTGAAGACATTTATTACTGTACCATAAGTGTAAGAGATTTTTGTGGTTAACATTCCCATGACAAGGAGGGTATCATACTGAGGTTTGGAGTCATTTTGTGTTAGGTGCTCTTGTATGAAGAAGCATGTTTAATTTATTGTTGTGGGCTCCTCTTGTCACCCACAATCCTAATCTCCAGGTTGTTATTATGCATGCATCACATTTATGTACCCTATATAGCCTGCATTCGTTTGGACTTCTGCTAAGAATAAAGTAATGCACAGAACACAATTAGATTACACATGTTTGGNTTTATATATAGGCTAAGGAAATTCGTTTGGAAGAAAATTATATGTACGGCATGTACTTTTCAATTCTGGAAAACATTGTAGTATTTGTTGTAATTTGATACTTGTTTAAAATTGGCTATCGATACATTCGATAATTCTTGTCATTGATATCTAAGATAAATAATTATTACCGATGCTTACTTTGGATTATACCCCACATTCGAAATTTCTTTGGCTTACTCTTTTTCTCTCCGCTGAATCTTTTTACCCATTGTTTTTGTGGTTGACACTGTTTCAAAATTGAAAGTGAAAAGATATCAACAGAGAAGATTTTAAAGAGTTAACAATTGGACCACATTGAGAGATTTATTTACTCACTTCTTTTTTGAAGACATTTATTACTGTACCATAAGTGTAAGAGATTTTTGTGGTTAACATTCCCATGACAAGGAGGGTATCATACTGAGGTTTGGAGTCATTTTGTGTTAGGTGCTCTTGTATGAAGAAGCATGTTTAATTTATTGTTGTGGGCTCCTCTTGTCACCCACAATCCTAATCTCCAGGTTGTTATTATGCATGCATCACATTTATGTACCCTATATAGCCTGCATTCGTTTGGACTTCTGCTAAGAATAAAGTAATGCACAGAACACAATTAGATTACACATGTTTGGACCTTCTGTCACTCGTAATCTGATCACGCGTGTTTTGACTGTCACTTGAAACTTATGCAAAGCATCGCAAATAAAATGGAGCAAAAGCGTTTTGACCTTCTATCGTTGCTGCCCACACTTTGTAACCTCTGGTTATTACTCATTCATTCCCCTTAGTGGTTATTGTAAAGAGGTTTTTTTTATGTCAGGGTTATGGTTTAATCTGATGGCCAACATGCATTTAAATAATATGGACACTGAGAGGGCCATAGAAAGTGTCCGTATTAACAGGGTGTTCATATTAAGTGGGTTGAATTTAGAGAAAATGTAAGGACTTTCTTTGCCCAGGGACAAAGCAAACTGCGGGTGTCCGTAAAGCAGGGTTTGACTGTAATGCAAATTGTCATTGGATTTTTTTCAGTTTCTGGTATCTTTAAGCCCATTAAGCTCATACCCTGATCATGCATGTAACACCCTGCCCTCTGCATTATCTATAAGGTCTAATCGTTTTTTTATAAAAGGGTTGAGCAAATGGTAGAGACAAAGTCATTGGTCTTGGAAAACAAGACGAACCAAAATGGATGTAAAAAGTGTCTTTCCCAGTCTTGAGTCACTGTTGCGAAGTCTCAAATTTTTCAACAAAAGTTTCAGTATATCTTAGCCAGTCTTGGACTTATTATTTGTCACCCCTGATAAAAATATGTCTAGAGAAAACCTGATAACTTATAAAGTGTGCGTGATCCCTTTAATCCCCTAAAGATGCCACCCTCCCTAAAAGTTTTTCAAAGATTTTTCAAAGCAACTTTAATAAACCAAAATCATTTAAATCATTCTAGTGCTTACTATGTATATAATTTTTTATCTTTTAAATCCTGGTGATTTAGGTTTGACCCCAAAAGAAGAGGCACTCCTCACGGAAATAAGAAAAAGAAAGTCGGAGTTGCTGGATGAAATTCAGGTATTGAGCCATATAACTTAAATGTTAATTTAAACAGAAGTTTTGTAATCACTTTTGGAGTTTTCACAGCGAGTAGCTTAACTAACAGACAGCAAATAATATTGCAACTTAATTAACAGGTCAATTAACAGTCTAACACTACCAACTGACAATATACTGTACAACTCACTTTGAATTTGAAGATGACCACTGTACAAGTTGTTGAAACATCAGTTACTGTCAACAACAGTCCTATTTCAGTGGCAGATCCAGACCTTCAGGTAAGAGGGGGGCCTCAGTCTCAAAAAAATCCTTTTTGGCCTTTTGGGCCTCATTTTGGTCTAAAAATATGGGAAGGGGTGGGGCGGGGCCCCCTGGGCCCCTCCCCTGGATCCGCCACTGTATTTAGAACTATACTCACCAATCGATCATAATCAACCCTCATTCTATTGTTACTAAACAACTGTATTCTTCTTTAATGAAAATGAGAATAATTATAATCTTTGTAGAAACTGGACATATTTTTTTGTAGCAATTCAGTCCTTAAGTGCAGAGAAAAGGTCTCAAGTCTATGCAACCTAGATCACTGAAGCTTGTTTTGTGGGTTGTTTCAGGGCTAACTAAGTAATTGCCTCTCTCTGACCACATTTTCCACTAATGTTTGTTACAGCGTCTCAAGGCCGAGATTGCAGAGGTTACTGCAGAAATGGACAGTGTGGATCAGAGGGAAAATGGGTAAGTTGAATAAGAGAACATTTTAAGCTGCTCAGATCATAGGAATCCTACAGGGTAATAGTTTCAGTTGTTGTACATACCTCATCTTTTTTTTTACTTTACCATCAACTTTTGCAATCAAAAGGTGCAAACTTTTTTTATTGATGAAGCATGTCTCCCGATCACTTGAATAAAGCTTAGAGTGGCTGTTATGAAATCCAGTAAATGTATAAGATCATGTCGCGGGTGACATCATAATGCCAGTTTTTATGGTCTGCCTGTGGTAGTACAAGTATAAAATAAATAAATGTTAACCTGTCAAGGATAGCAAATTACTCTTAGACTAGTAGTCGAAGGTGTGGGGCCAACGAACCTATTATGTCCAGTTTTGTGCCAATTTTCTCTCTTGGTCGTGGATTTTTTGTTTGTCACTTTTAGGAGGCCCTGTTAGGGTAAAATTCCGACAAGCAACATGGCCTTGAAACAGTGACATGGGACAGTAGAAATGGCGACAAACGACACAAAGATGGGTTGAAACTTCAACAGCGACAGAGAAAAGCACAAATACAATAGTAAAATACCGACAGCGACATGGCTTCCTCCTCAATGCAAAATGACAGGTTTTAAGATTCAGACGAGGGACATACGTAACCCCCCTGAGAGGACCTCACTAACAACATTAACCATAACTTTTTTGTCTTGTTTTCGAATTCAAACAAAAGGAGAAAAGTCTAACCAAGTGATTTTAAATTATTTGCAACACCTTTTTTAATACATATCATTGGTTTGGTGGTTTTTATTATTATTATTATTTTTTTTTTTTAAGTAGTTAAGTATTGAAAGTATAGCGTGCATGTGTTTGTCCTGTGGTCTTACCACCCTGTATGTCTTTTAGTTTATTAGACATAAGATTTCTTTGTTGAAACAAACTGTTTTCAAAGTTCTAGAGAAGACCCAAGGGCTAAGCAGTTATCTACTGGAAAAAAGAAGTTCAACATTGATCCTGATAAGGTAAAAACTACTGGACCCATTAGTCAGTGGTTAATATTTTCCTCCATAAATGCTTTATGTTATTATTATTAGATTTTGATTGATTGATTGATTGATTTTTTTTTCTTATTTATACAAATGAAATTCAAGACATTATTTTTGAAATTTATTGGCTTAGATAAGTAAGTGAAAAGAGTGGTGCTAGACATGACCACACCATGCATCAAGGGTTCACTTACAAAATTTTATAGTCAGTGGAAAAAAATAATACCAACAGCCGTAAAGTGGTTGTGGTCGCTTATGAAAGTTGGTCATTTACAAGAGGTTCTAATTATAGGCTGGGAAAATTTTGATGTTTTTGGATAGGTGGTCACTCGTGAAAGTTGGGACTGTATGCTGTTACTTGTGGCGTATTTTAATACTTAATTTTGACTCGGTCTTTCTGTCTTACAGGGATTGGAATACCTTATCACTAACAACTTGCTGAATAACACCCCAGAGGACATTGCTGAGTTCCTTATGAATGAAGAAGGCCTAAATAAAACTATGATTGGAAATTATCTTGGAGAAAAGTAAGAAGAATAGTTATTTATAAACAAAGTACATGTTAAGGCAAAAGCAAACACCTGGAAGCTACATGGTTATGGTTTACAGGGGTACAATGTAATTCGTACACCACTAAGAAAATGACTAATTATAATATACCATTTTTCCTTGAATAAGAACCCACACTCTAATAAGCGCCCTTCCCCGAATAAGCACCCACCCCTAGGCCATAATGTCAAAGAAGCACCCTCTTCCCCCTCCACATGACTTTTAGAAATAGTAGGGATACAGGAGGAATGCAACAACCTGTATATCATTGACGAGGATGATTTCAATGATGATGAGGTAATCAACATAAACATACATACGAATACATTAGTGTAAAATGGATAATGGGACTACGGTAGGCTTGCGTACTGACTTCTGTTTTAATGAATGTTTATTGTTTATGTGGATAATGTTGTAGTGATTGCTTTGGGTTTTCAGTTTCAAAAAGATTTTTTTAAAATTTAATTACAGTTAGTTGAAAGAAAAACTTTATAAGCTTCCCCCTTGATTAAGTGCCCTCCTTTAAACAAACACCCCTCTGTTTAGCCGGAATTTTGAATAAGTGCCTGGGTGCATATTCAGGGAAATACAGTAGTCAATAATAATCCAAAAGAAGTGCTAAGCTCCCTTACTGTTTCTTTGTTCCTCCTAGGTCAGTAACTCTTTTTTGCTTTATTGGTAGTTTACATGTAATTCTTAAGGGGAGACAAGGAAATCCTATGTAAATGGAAAGGTTTAGAAACTGAAAGTATTTTAACTTTAGGCTTTTCAGTGGATTAAATTAATAATTTCTGCAATTTTTTACTAAACTTCAGCTTACAAGAGTCATTCATAAATATTTTAAGAAAAGCTTATCACTCACCCAAAATTTCTGGGAGTTTTGGTGTGAAATTGAAAATAATCTGTCAGTCCCAAGAGAGGTAAACCTAAATGTATTTTTTTATTTATGTCAGTCTTAATCATTATTTTTATTGCCTCCTTGTACAACTTAAATAATAATTATTTCATTTATCTTAATCCACAGTGCAGATTTTAACTTGGATGTGTTTCGAATCTTTGTGGAACTGCATGATTTTAAGGGAAGATCATTGGTAGATGCCCTGAGGTAAATTCCATTTGATCTAATATGACTTTTTTGGCACAATGCAGCTAGCTTAACATTAGTCTGTGAGCAAGCTCTCATGGGGTTCCTGGGGGTAGGGTGGTGGGGGAGTGAAGAGGGGAAGGAGAGCTTACACTCGCGTCTCATAAATTTGAATATCTGCATCCCAGAATTCATTCATTCATTCATTCATAACTTTATTTATTTTGGATTGTAGAGTAGCACATAGAGCTATTATCCCCAAACTACATAATATAAAAACCGACAAAAAAACAACAGCAACAACAACAAAAAAATAAAATACACAACTCTTAGTAAAAAATTTAATATAGTCTTTAATATTGCATTTAAAACAAGCAAGCATTTCAGACATTTCGATATTATCAGTCAGGTTATTCCAGGCATGAGGAGCAAAGTATCTCTATGATTGCAAACCATAGGTGGTCATCTTAACATGCAATATTGCCAGCTTGTTATAGCCCTCTCTCAAATCAGAATAGGTTGCGAAATGTTGATTGGTTGATTTCTAATCAGGCAATGACGTAAAGTTCCCTCAGGAGAGTTACTTGTAGGCTAACAGGCTAGACACCTTCACTGCCGTGAAACGTGTCACATATTTCACATATTGCTCTAACAATAAGATCTCTTTCAGAGATTAATCACTTTTAAAATTACACTATGGGTGGGTAATTTGTTAGTTGCTTTAGCTTCTTTGCAGAAGAAAGAAAAGGACTTGCGGTAGAGTTTATATTGTGGCAGAGGGGAAAAAATGTATAATTTTAGCATCTTATGCAACAGGCAAATTGAGTTTGGTGTATTCCTGTCAATTTGTAATCTGTTTTAATAGCAGGAGAGAGATGCAATTTATTTAGTTGTTCTAGACATCTTTGTTTCAAAACACTTTTGGAGAAACGATATTCTGAGTTCAATGTATGCCACAAAGCTTACAAAATATCCTGTTGTCTCAATGCCGAGGGCTGAAGCTGGCGCTAGCAGTGGTTTGCCACTTTTTGAATGGTCTTCTTTTGATCTGGCACCCTCAATGACTTGCCTATGAAAACGAGAACTCAACAATTTTCTGGTGTTTCATCTTTTCACTGCAGTTTCTTTTACTCGTGGGAAATTTATCTTTTGCACACTGTTTCTATGTTTGTTAACATTTGACGCATATTTCCACTCCATGCCGATTGGCCAAAACTGACAGCTCTGTCAATGGCCTTAGCCACAGGGGGCACAGAGATGGAATTCAATTCCTGAAACGTGACTGCAAGCTCTCCCTCCTTTTTTGCCCTGCTGCCAGAGGGCCCCGGGAAAGCTTGCTTGCAGCTTGTAACATGTTTTTCTTCAACCCTGTCAGGGTGAAATGAAAACAAGTAATGGCTTTTTAATACAACTTGTATTTATTTGATGACTTTGCAGAGAGTTTTTGTGGAGTTTTCGTCTTCCTGGTGAGGCCCAGAAAATTGACAGAATGATGGAAGCATTTGCCAAGAGATATTGCGATCAAAACCCTGGAGTGTTTACGTCATCTGGTATGCCAAAAAATATTACCACATGATATAAAGTGTGATGATGATAATAATAATAATAATAATAATTATAATTATAATAATAATAATAATAATAATAATAATAATAATAATAATAAGGGTTTGAATATATTATGAGGCCCTCTAAGGGGGGGGGTGGGGGGGGGGTGAGGTATGTCCCTAGTCTGAATTTCAAAACCTGTTGTTTCACATATATGGGTGCATTTAGGAGGAAGCCATGTCACCATTGTTATTTCACTATTAATTTATTATATTTGCCGTTTTATTTGTGGCTGTCACAGTTTCAAGCCAGCTTTGTGTCGCTATTCAAGGCCATGTTACTTGCTGGAATTTTACCCTTACAGGGCCTTATAGCAATTTTTAGAATCAAGAGATTTTGAAGTGAAAGTACGTAGCCAGGTTAAATAGTTATAAGAAAGACTTTTTTGATTGAGGTGTGCTACGTACCATTAAATGGTATATAACTTTAATTTATATATAGCTGATTCAATAAAGGTTGCTTTGGGCGTTAGGAATTGGGCATTGGGAAGCTATTGTTTGGTGGTCACTCAAATCATTGCATTGTTCCATATGCTCAAATGACCAATTACCAAAGCAACCTTTTTTTGATGTGGCTGTATAAACAATAACTAATTTTTCTTGACCAACAGATACCTGTTATGTTTTAAGTTTCTCACTTATCTTGTTAAACACAAGTCTTCACAACCCAAGCGTCAAGGATAAGGTGAGATGAAGACTTTACTTCTACTTACTCTGTTACGTTATAAAAAGTAATTTATTATATATTGAAGGTAATGGAGAGAATTAACACATGTATTTTTGCATGCCAATTTTGTCCTATTTCACAGAAGGCTGCAATTTTAAGTTTTCATTTGCCAGAAATTAATGAGGTGTTAAATCTCTGTTACAGCAAACCCCCAGTTTAAATGCACCCAAGGATGGTTTTCTCCTAAATACATTGAAAACACTTTTTAGGCAATCCACAGTATTATTTTTAGACCTCTAGAAATGTATTTGAAGCATGCACTATATTGTATCTGTTCTGTCATCCTAGGGGAACTTGAGTGTTTTTAAAATTACAAGGGCTTCACTTATTATTTTCCCATAAACAATAGATGCTATTTAAAGAATTATCAAAGTGAAAATTTTTCTGCTCTCTCCATTACATTTTTTAATCCAAAAATTTAATGTTTCTTTTTCTATGAAATATAGCTTTAACTAGGGAGAGAAATGAAAAAAAAATTGAACTTCAAAAAATCATAGGGAATTTAATAGATAAGCTTCAAAAATCGTAGATAAATGGAATGTTCATCTAGGAATTTTTAGCTGCCCCTCATACTATAGAAAATTCTAGGCAGTATTTGCTTCTTCAAACCATTATTTTAGAGAAAACAATATTGTTGGGTGTCCATGACAGTTGGGGTGACACATGTACATATTATGTATAGGCTTACTGCCCTGTTACAGTGAATGGTGGTTTACTATTCCACTTTGCTCTTTCCAGCCTACCATTGAAAGGTTTATTCAAATGAACAGAGGAATCAACTGTGGAGAAGATCTTCCAACTGACATTCTGACGGTGGGAACTACTTGCTTCCTTTGTCATTGTTTTGCCTTTTAAATGTGCAAACAAAATAATCATGGTTCTCACTTGCATTCTATTATTGATATTCTCCTTTTATTGGTTAAGTGTTGGATATACCCATTTCAGACTTCTTGACTTTTTTCCTCTATGAATTTTAATATTTTAAATTCACCTAAACTTAAAGTAGCAGCCTGCTAGCAGGACCTTTCTTTCACTTGCTTGATTTTGGAATACAGTCAAACCTCTTTAATACGGACTCCAAAGGGACAGAACCAAGTGTCCGCTTTACAGAGGTCTCCGTATTATAGAGGTAGGGAATGTATGATTTTTAGCATTTCTAGGACCAAAGGTACTGTCCGTAATAGAGAGGTGTCCGTATTATAGAGGTGTCCGTAAGGAGAGGTTAGACTGTACTTGAGAAAGACTCTGCATTAATTGAGTAAGATCTATGTTGAGCATGTTCTTCTTATTCCTGGGATGCAGTTTTGAATCCAGGCCTAATAGCCATGTGTTTGGTACATCGAACTCAGTTATTACTATAATGTTATCAATGAATGGATGCTCGCACTTGGTCACAGGGCTGTCACTTAGATTCTAAGCTGCTGCGTAAATATAACAAGTAGGCGGAATTCAAACAGCTAGGGATAACCAGGTAAAGAGTACAGCGGCATGATCCATTTGCTGTAGTATTAATGAAGATTAAGTCAGTATCATTTTGTTTAATGAATTTTTGCTTATTGTAGAGCTTGTTTGAAAGCATCAAGAATGAGCAATTCAAGATCCCAGAAGATGATGGCAATGATATCACCAGGACTTTTTTCAATCCAGATAGAGAAGGCTGGCTCACAAAAGAAGGTAAAATTTGATCTCCCGGGGCATTGATCCAGGATGTAATTCTTTTGAAATAACATCCACTGACCAAGGCATTGCAGATTTATTGGAGAATGTTATTTCCCTGTCAGATTTTAACCGTGGCAGGATTAGCTCAGTCGGTAGAGCGTTTGACTGCAGAGCGGGAGGTCGCGGGTTCGATTCCCAGGGCCGGACCATTACTCAGGGTCTTAAAATGACTGAGAAATGAAGGTACTTCCTTTCCACTGCAAGCGGCGAGACCTTCGCGTGGCTCGGATGACCACGTAAAATGGCGGTCCCGTCTCCATTAGGAGACGTAAATATAGAGTCCCCGATTAGCACTTTCGCGCTAAATACATTGACACTCAAATAAAAAGTGCAAGTGCAAGAGCATTTATATCGTTCTTTAATGTTTTATTTTCTGCTACCCTCAAAGAACAATATTTATTACATTTCAATTTCATTATCAGTGCTTTTTAATCTCTTACTTCACTGGAGAAGTGATAAGCCTTGTTTTTCAATGTAAAATACGAAATTAAGAGATCTACATGTAAGTAACTTCCAATATTCATGTTTTATGTTTCAACACTTGTTTTGTAAACAATGTTAATCAATCAGTTTCACACTTTATTTTTAGGTGGTTTGCACAAAAGTTGGAGAAAGCGATACTTTATCCTTAAAGATAACTGCTTATATTACTTCAAGAATGTCGGGGTAAGAAAAACGTATAGTAACTTCTCAAACTCATCAATAATTCATGAAGAAAATACAAAGTTTAGTGAAAGGAAATTAATGCTTAATGAGTTAGTGTTTGGAATTCAGATGAAAAACTGCTCATTTTTGAATCCTTAATTTCTCCTTCTAAAATCATTTTGTTTGAGAAGTAATATCACCTCAAAGTTCGTCAAAAATACTCAGCTGCGCGTCGTATTTTCAACTCTCATCTCAGTGTTTCATCTGGTGATCAAACACTGTGTCTCATGATTGATATATTACCTGACTAGGTTTTTTGTGTGTATCCTGGTCCCCGGGATCACATTATGGTAAAAAATGTTGTATAAAAGGGTAAGGAGCAGAGGGGTTGGACCTTGGGTTGGAGCCTCTTCATGTAACACAGTAGAGTACATGCCATTCCACTTCCCCCTACCAGGTCCTGGTCATTGCTAACCAGTAAGTGAAATTATCTTATACATACCCACCCTTATTCTCAATGGTTGTAATAAATGAAGGGCTTCGTGCAAGAACGTCCTTAGGGTTTTTAAGTCATTTTTGACAGTGCTTTAAAATTGCTTAATTTTGTAATGTCACTCTTGTTTTAGCAGACAAATAAGCACTGTTCAGAACTTTTTTCCTCTGGTTTGAGCTTCGTTTTCGAGAAATAAAGTGTGCTAACAATTCTCACTTTCCTAGCGGCGTTACTGTGCTCCCTGGTAGATGTCCAATTGTCATTTACCCAGCGATCAAGGGTTTCTTTCTGGCATGGCTTTGCGTTTGCGTGGCTTATCGGCCCGGTAGTTGGTTTGTTTACGCCCTATTTCTCGCGGGGTGTAAACAAACCAACTACGGGACTGACAAGTCACGCGAATGACTTTGTAAATGCTAAAAGCCATGCCGGAAAGAAATCTCTGCTCGTAGGGTAATTATCATTATGAAGACGTAATTAATGAATGGTTTTTATTTCACAGGACAGGGAGCCTCGTGGTATTATTCCCTTGGAAAATCTTCAAGTGAGGGAAGTCCAAGATTCCAAAAGAAAGGTAACACTTTCTCTGATAGTTTTAGGTGGAAAACAATAAGTTTTAAAAAGGTTTATATTTCTTTAAGATTGTAAGCATTGTAGCTAACTGTACTCTGCTTTTGTTTCTTTTTTCAGTATTGCTTTGAGATATATTCTGCGGATAATTCTTCTAGTCTCATAAAGGCTTGTAAAACAGACTCCGAAGGAAAAGTTGTGGAAGGTCTGTTCTGATGAATAATACAGTCACTGTTGAGTACTTTGTTTCTGCCTTATTAGCGTGATGTTCTTTCCAATCTGATAAACCACTGTTTTGTTTTTTGTAGGTCACCATGATGTGTATCGTATATGTGCAGAATCATCTCAGGAAAGAGAAACTTGGATTGGTTGTATAAAGTGAGTTTCATTTTGATGTGTCCAGGCTCTTTTAAATACACGTTTTCTTGAGTAGAATGAGGTGAATTCATTCCCTTGGCAAGAGCATCTCTAAGAAGCAATTAGCCTGGGTACTAGCAAACGTTTCCACGCGAGTTTGTCGAGAAAGTTCGGACGAGTGCAAATTAGGGGAATGAAGGTGAGGGGTGGGGGGGGGAGAGAAGTAAACTCCTCCTTCCACTTCCCCCTCCCCCTTCGATCTTCCATTTCTTTTGCTTCCACTCCAGCTTTCGCGCGATGGCTAGGATGTGCAACTCAGTTAAATGACATCTTGGATTTGTCATTATCTTCTAATCTTCTTCCTTGTTTGATTATAATCACAGCATAATTAAGTTTTCAGTTTACTCCTTTTTTTTAATCAGGGCCAGTATGATATTTGATCCATTCTATGACATGCTTCAAGCAAGAAAGAAGAAAGTAACGCAAGCGGCATCAAATTGAGCACGCGACGACTATCCGGGGCTAAAATTGGTTTATTACTAAACAAAAGAATAGGTTTACAATAAAGAACTGGAAAATCACTACAAACATAAAACTAGTTTGACGTCACTAATGTATTACCAAAGCCAGTAAAATCAACTTTTGTTATCAGTAATAAACTGCAATGCAAATTTACATGCACAATGCTGTTTTTACCTTTTCATAGATTTAATTCAAAAATATATATATATTTCGAAAGCCAATTGCTAAAGAGACGAAAAAAAGTGTTTTTTTGCTTTGGTAGACATCATGTTCTTTTTGAGAGTGAAGGTATCGACAGATTTGGGTTAACTGACAGGTAGACTCCGTTGATTATGATAATCCCGAAAACTCTCCTCTTATAACTACTGAAGCGCCAGTGTATTGTCAGTGTATTGTCAGTGTATTGCTTTTGTTTTCCTTTTTCGTATACACGCGTTTTTACCTTGTTAGCAGTGGTTTCTTTCCAGCATGGGTTTTATGTAATGTTTAAAAGTCGTCTGCGTCGCTGCCATGATTCGCGTAGGTTGGCTTGTTTACGACTGTACGTCCCTGAGAGTTGATGTGAACGACTTCGTAAACTGGGCTAAAAACCATACTGGAATGAAACCACTGCAAGTAGGGTAGACGCTTTTACTTCTTAAAGGGGCTGTTTCACGAAGATATAGCCTTTTTTAGGTCGATTTTTTACTTAATGCCTTTACCTATTCAAAAAATACTCCACACCTGAAGAGTTATGAAGAAGATATCAATAAATATGTCACCAGGAAGCACTCACCATTATAACTTTTTAGGTGATTTTTGCAAGGATAGTATTAAAACTTAAAAACGTTGGCCCAACATTTCAAGTTTTAATCTACGTCCATTCTTACCATCCATAGCAAAAGACGACTTGAAACAGTTTTGATGCTTGAATATAGTTTTTAATAACAAAGCTGTACCATTATTGTTTTTATTTCAACTGTTTCGGAAAACGTTTTCTCTTTTTGAAAACATAGCAAATAACGCGACGTAGCCCCTTTAAGAACAAAAAATGTGAGAATAGGAGGTTGTCTCTCTGGATGTTTTTTAACCTTTACAAGCTATCATCCTTGCATATGATTAGAAATAGTTTTCAAATATTGTTGATCATTATTCAGTCCGTTTAGCTTTTGTATTCTCAATCTTTTTTTTATCTTAACATTGTCACAGTTTTACAATCATGTACATATTATAAGTAACATAGATAACCGGGGAAATTATTTGCAACGTAGGTTCAAACTAGATATACTGGTATCTATTAAACTGGATGCAGGGGAATTGATTAATTAAACGTAACATTTCCAGGTCAACTAAGAAGTGTTTTTATTCAAAGTTCAGTGCTTATAGATGCTCTTTAAAAGGGAAATCACAATCCCAACTCTTTATTTAGCCTGTGTTTAGGTGTATCCTATTTATAAATTCAGAGAAGCGAGACTAAAGAAAACTTCAAACTTTCAGAAAAGAAGGCATCCCCCCGACTCACCGAAGAAAGGGCGTAGACGGCTCATCATTGTTAGGACTTCACCATTGTCGGATCGACACCTTCCTTGTTTTACCCTACATTGATTACATCAAACAAATACCCAGTTACTATTGAATAAGGTGTTTTATTTTTAACACCAAGTTGCCATAGCAAGGTTAAAACATAAAAACGCTTATTCCTCAAAATCGGTTTGATGTTAAATTGTTGTTTTAAAGAGGATCTTAACCCTCTTTACATTGGATTTAACACGGGTTGCAGGGTTGTTATGGTTACTTGGAATGTCAAAGAATTACTCCTTTTCACATTTGACGGACGGAAAAAAATTGAAAGAACACCAAGTTTAATGATTCGTTCTTGTCAAAAATCGCAATACGTCATTGCCTCCCGTTCGTTGGCGAACAGCGTTCGGTAAACTGTCAGCTTTTCCCCTTCCTTCCCCGTCCATTCCCCCGCCCCCTACCGCTCCTATCCCCAAATTTTGTGCTCGCCCTCATGGGTATCGTGCAGTCTGACCTCTTGGCTAAAGGAAATCGGAAAGGACTTCTACGCAGGCTTACTTTTCTCCTCCTTTTAATTTGTTGACGCGCTTGCGTCGACTTGAAAGTTGAGGGGGAGTTCGGGAAAATTGAAAACGATGACATGTGCACTTAAACCTGTCAATAGAAAATGCACGTATTCCAACCCGGAAATCTTCCTGCTATTTGAGGGAGTATGCTGCTTATTTTTACCCCAGCGCGAAGGAACCTGGCCCGGTAATTCGGCAAGTCACACTTCGATTCGCTCAAGTTTTAGTATGTATTCATATATTATTTGTATATTACGTATCACGCCAAAATGCTTCACATACAGTTTGACTGCGGGTCGGGATCTTATCAGGCTACCTAGTATTTTGTATTAAGTTATTTGCACGTGTTTATTTGTTTTCTTTTTTGCATTTTTTAATGAAATAAATGCAGAGGTAAGAAGCGAGGAAAGGATGTGCTTGAATCTGTATATTATTATTTTCTTTTCCATGACCTATGGACACACAACAACGTTGGTTAAGAGGAAACGAGTTTTATTGAAACTTCTTTAACTGCTAAACCTGAAGTATAAACAACGATGCAAAGCTTTTCGTAACATTCGTTTAAGTTCACTTTTGATAGTCACGAAGCGAGAGATGCTGCAACGTATTTTGAAAGTTGTTATCCAAGTTTGCAAACTTTTCTACAGTTTTCTGAAACAAAATTGAAAACCAGTTGAATATGACCTCTTGTGGCTCCAGAAGTCAACAAATTAAAGTAGCGTCAAATGCATGACTGCGTTTACGAAGAGAGTATAACAACTTTTACTCCTAAAGTTCAAGCTCTTTAGAAGCACTTGCGATGTACAATGGCAGGACCAGATTCATCATACTCCTGCTTGGAGATCCACATCTGCTGGAAGGTGGACAGTGAAGCCAGAATGGAACCTCCGATCCAAACTGAGTATTTGCGCTCTGGTGGAGCAATGATCTTGATCTTCATGGTAGATGGTGCTAAGGCTGTGATTTCCTTCTGCATCCTGTCTGCAATACCTGGATACATGGTTGAACCACCAGAGAGGACAGTGTTGGCATACAGATCCTTACGGATGTCCACATCGCACTTCATGATGGAGTTGTAGGTTGTTTCATGAATACCAGAAGCTTCCATACCTAGGAAGGAGGGCTGGAACATGGCTTCGGGGCAGCGGAATCTCTCGTTGCCTATGGTAATCACCTGACCGTCAGGCAGCTCATAGCTCTTCTCCAGGCTGGAACTAGATGCCGCAGTTTGCAGTTCCTGGTCAAAATCCAGAGCAACATAGCACAGCTTTTCCTTAATGTCACGGACAATTTCACGCTCAGCGGTAGTGGTAAAGGAATAGCCACGTTCAGTTAGAATCTTCATTAGGTAATCCGTCAGATCTCTGCCGGCTAAATCCAGACGAAGGATGGCATGGGGTAAGGCATAGCCCTCATAGATAGGTACAGTGTGGCTCACACCATCACCACTGTCAAGAACAATTCCAGTGGTACGACCAGAGGCGTACAAAGACAACACGGCCTGAATGGCAACATACATGGCTGGACAATTGAATGTTTCAAACATGATCTGCATACAAAGAGAGATATCATTGTCATTCAGTTTAGTTAAACTAATGATGCTTTGCCAAAAAATGAGGAAAAAAGTGTGGCCTTATCTTCCATGAGGTAAGCCACTTAACTGGTTTTACAAATATTAAAACCGCTAGTGAAAAAAGGTTTAGCCCTCGAAAACAGCCTTCTCTCCTCGCTCTTGATCGCCAGGAGGGGCGAAACGTTCCTAGAGGCGTGGGGCGAGAAAAGAAGACTGTTTTCGCAGGCAATAGAGGAATCAGGCTAAGCAGCAATTAAAGCAAAGATGCCGAATAAGGAGCCCATAATGATGGGCTGATGAACAACCGTTAAGGAACCTTAAAATCCGACGACAGCGACAGCGAGAAAGTCAAAAATAGGTCCAATACGCACAACAACAAGTATGCACGTGCAGTACACTTTTTGTTTTGTACATTTATTTGCCGTCACTGCGCGGCCACGACGTGGGAATGTCAAAGAGGGTGTAAACAAGCTACGACGAAATTTTCTTTCTGAACTTGGATGTGATCATCAGGAATTCAACCCAAGGAGAGTTCGCCAACATTTGACAAAGTGAGTGAGTTGGAATAATCGCGATGAAGACTGAAATAACTCGAATTGCCCTTTTTATGTGACTTTTTCCCTGCCGTCGCTGTCCGCGGATTTTAAGGTCTCTATTAAGATCAATTTCTACGGAAAAGGAAGATTTTTCACAAAAGCTATCAATTTGTCATATTAGAAATATTTGAAAGGATCAACAACCGTAGGGGCACACGAAAACCTTTTATGAGCCGTGCTAAAAGGAGGTTTTTGTTTTTCCACTCTGTGAGCAGATTGCGCGGCCAGAGGAGAACTATTTCGATTGAATTGAAAGATAAAAGTATAGCTCTCGGTCATTAAATCTGGATTGTCAGGAAGCCAAACTGGCGTCAGACTAAACTGTGGAGACTAGGAGGGAACGTTTATTACTATTGTGAGTTTACTAAGATTTTAAGACAGAATGTACGTTTACCTGTGTCATTTTCTCCCTGTTTGCCTTAGGATTCAACGGTGCTTCTGTCAAGAGAACTGGGTGTTCTTCAGGGGCTACACGGAGTTCGTTGTAGAAAGTGTGGTGCCAGATCTGCAAAAGGCAAGTTCGACATGAAAAAAATAGATGCGTTCATTAGATGCGCTGTTTAAACTTACAGACACGCAAGAGTTGTATTGTTTAAAGAATTGAATTGCTTGCCTTTTCCATGTCATCCCAGTTTGTAACAATTCCGTGTTCGATAGGATATTTCAGTGTTAAAATACCACGTTTGCTTTGGGCTTCATCGCCGACGTACGAATCTTTCTGGCCCATACCAACCATGACGCCTTGGTGACGAGGACGACCTACAATCGACGGAAAAACGGCTCGGGGAGCATCGTCTCCTGCAAATCCAGCTTTACACATACCGGAGCCATTGTCCACAACCAAAGCAGCAATGTCATCATCAGCCATTTTCAGTTTTTAATCTGCGAAAGACCTCCTTGTATATCTTGTGCTGTCTTTGATATGAAACGAAACCAACACGCTGCGAGCATGCTACGTAAAACAGAGCAAAGTGCTGCAAATTGTCAATCAAACAACTATGTGCCCAATTTATTACCTTATATGGTAATCTTCATGGCCTAATTTGGTAATTAAGTTTTCTGAATTTGATTGATGTGCCGTTAGTTGGCTTACCTGATTCAGAGTCTTGTATGCTCTCAGATGAAAGCTGAGTTTTGCTAGTTTTTTTTTATTCTCACTGACTGAACTCAAATAGCGATCAAAAGCCTTCTCCTCGCTGGAAAGTTACGAAACAACAAGTATGGATCGAGACGAACATTCACTAAACGTAACTCGTCTTCATAATTCGGAAGCCTAAAAGTTATAACTTAACGAGCTTTCGCTTGAAAAGCAAAGCTCGAGTATGTTAGAAGAAGCCCAGCAGAAAAACAGGAAGCTTTTAAATTTTTTAAAGGGAATGTAATTGTGTTCCTAAAGTTTTTAACCTGAGATCATGATCAGGCTCAATTTTCGTTTCGCTTTGTAAATAACATTCCGGCGGGCAAGGCGGTAGCGGTAGCCGTTAGGCCATCCCCTTTCTTTTTCGTTTAGCGTCGGATGCGTTTCCTGATATTGGGTCGGTCGATCGGATTAAAAAAAAAACTAAAAAAAGAATCACAAGAAGTCTCGGAATAGGAGGCCCTGGTACCTCAGGACGACGTTAAAAGTTAACATTCACATATTTGGATTAACAAAATACAATGTACTGTAAAAAATGTTTCTGTTTTTCTCTATGGCTGTTACTATGCTCATTTTTCAGATTAAAAGAATAGTATTTTAAGTGACAAACGTTTTAACCACGTGGTTACTTTTTTTTCTTTTTCTTTTGAAAATGCCAAAAATTTGGGTCGGTCGGACGATGCTAAACGAAGAAAAAAAAGAGGATTGCCTTAGAGAGAATGTATGAGAATAGCTACAATTGGACCTGATCTCAGGTTAGTCATTTATAGCCTGCAAATTCATGCGCACATGCTCCACCCACGAGCTTGTATTAAATTCGCCAACCTACAACGGAAATATTGGAAATACAAACGGAGAACCAAGCTCATATTCTGCTGAAAGCGAATCTAGGAGATTAAGCTAGCACGCAGAGGCACGTCAGTCTAGTACGCAAACGGCACTTCCCACTCAAGCAAACGGACTATTGAATGATATTGACGAATATTGAGATATGATAGCGGTGGGGGAAAGTTAATAATTTTATTTTCAAATTAGTTGATTTTCGATTGATTTCTTTGGTTATGATTTTTTCTTTCCATTTCCCATAAGAAGTTACATATTATCACGCACTGGCGTGGGAAGCGATCTACACGACCTGATCTGATCGAAATAATTCCTGCCCAGTACCTGTTGCCGCCTCTGTGGAACCAAGCGAAAACGAACTTGAGGAATAGATAGGGTCGGACGAAGGAGTCAGACTGAAGCATGAGTATCCATTTGCCTCTCCTTTCCTGTCTTTGTATCTTGTTTGTGAAAATGTTATTCATGGCATGAGTATGACTCAGGAAATTGAAAAGAAATATCATTTCATAAAAGCTCAAGTTAAAAAAATATCGCGAAAAATTTCAACTAAAACAAACTAACCTGGAGAAAACAAAGCTTTAGTAAGTTTCCCTGCAAGGTTTCAGGATGTGATTGTAGGAGGGTTTTGCCGATGAAATATGCTAGATACATCAAAAATGTTTTTGATAAATTCACTTGTCCACGACCTAGACAAATTGGATGTCCTCCGAGCTCTTATGTTTGGTATTTCCTGATATTTCCTTCTCACGAGCAGAGTTTACAAAGCCTTAATTTTTAAGGGAGTGGTATTTCCTCGCTCCCGTCAGGTAATATACGAATCCCGTAGAACCTAGCCTGCGTGGAAGACGCAAAAAAGGGAGGGGATGGGGAGAAGAATAATCTCGTGAGATCTGGCTTCCCCTTCCTTTAATTCTCTACCCCTTTCGAAGCCTGCTACACAGGCTACTAAAAACACCTGGGTACAAAATATCCCGGAAATCTGAGAACCGTTCATTGAACAACAACCTTATAGATCAGGGAAGCTCATCTGTTTCTTCTGGAAGCCTTGTGGCCTTGCTTGGCGGTGTTTATGGTTAACTGTGCATGATAGAGACATTAAAGTCATATCTCTAACTGTTGGTACCCCTTTCGGGCGGAACCTCCTTTTAGACCGTTATAGGGACAGGGGCACCCAACGGGAAATTTTGAGAAAGAGACCTAAAAACAACAACAAAGGGTGAATAAAGTTTTCTGAGACTATTTTAAGCATTTTGGGAGATTGCTGGAAAAAAATTATCTGTTCCTCACTCCCAGCAAGACTGATGGAAGAGTTCCCAGCCAGCAACCTTACAACCTGCAACCTGACTTACTGGGAAGTTTCATAGGGCACAATTCAGATCTTGAGTGGTAAGTAACCCATACAAGTAACCCGTAGCAGCTATTCTAGACTTCAAATCCCCTCTGACATCCTGAATTATCTTTTTCCCAGCAACACTTTCCTTTCAAGGACTATTATTTCTTCCACATCTCCCAGCCAGCAAAAATGTGCCTGAAGAACAGATATTTTGAGGAACAGATCCATTGGGTTCCCCTGTAGGGAGTACCCCCGGTTCCCGCCAAGTTTCGATGACGGTAACTAGTATTCTATACCCCCAAGATAGATCATTCTCTCTCTCTTGATACCCCTTACTCGTTTTGGTTTTGAAAGAGGTTTCGGTGTCATTTTCGGCTTATACTTTCCTGTCAGGAGCCCCGGTCTGATGTTACGCTGCCCTCTGATCTATGCGTACACCAGGCGTAGAGTATTTTCTCGCGCTTGAGTCATTGTTCTTCCACCGGGTAGTAGCATTTATGAGCCTCTCCCAGCTGGTAACGCAAATTTCCGGTCTGCCTTGTTTGATGACGTGCGGAAATTATGGCACACGTGGGGTATGGCGTGATAAGTGGGATGTTCATTTACAGCTACAGCTCTGGCTCTTTCCAGTAGTCTGCTCCGCGGCCGTTTTTTGTGTTGTCACGCAACGCTCCTCCTTTAGTTGGTGTTGTTGTTTTATCTCAAAGGGCAAGAATTCTACAGAGAGTATTTTCAGTGATTTTCGATCAGAAAAGAATACGACATCACACTCCATAGGCGGCCCTCGACGAACAAAATCACCAGTAACAAAGCGAAAAAACAATTTCACAGAAATTTAACCCGCGCGTACAAGGATTTCCTCAAAAGTCCCAAGAGAACGGCGCAGGTATCATTCAACAGGAAGCGAAGTGCTTGTCACGTCAGTCGGAAAGCGGTGCCCTTAGGGAGAGGGGGAAAGAAGGGTGTTTATATCTCAATACTTTTATGAGGGTACCCGCTTTCTACCTATGTCAAGATTTCAAAAATCTACTGCTATTGTCCTGTTGAAGGGAAAAACTACTGATTCACGATTGAACTACAGAATCATAAAGTTAACAATAGTGACTGGGAGCCACATTTCTTTAGCTTGTACCACTCCTGTCTGTTGAGACAAAGTGAACCCCCAGTGAGCAAAAATTTGATCTTTTGGGGTTTGGTGACAAATACCATATGTAAAAAAATTAAATACAAAGCTTAATAATCCTAGAGAAATATTTTACCGCAAATAGCGATAAACTCCAGCAAACGAGGACAAAAAAGCACGCGTCAGCACTGTTTCTTCTATCAGACCACTCGATTTGGAAATTTGCGGGAAATTTGGCTTTGGGATAGATGACCTTTGCTGACAGATCTCTTTTTTGTTTTTCGTCCGCTGAGGCACTTGGGGTGGAGTTTTCATTAGAAATAGAGGCAAAAATTCCGCCTTTCTTAAATATTCGATGGTTGAAAGAAAAGAAAACGGACGCAAGCGACAACATAAATTTTGCAAAATGCCGACCAATAACTGAAATTTTCCACACTTTTCGATAAATTTCGATTGTCGTGTCATCATTTGTCGTTGACGTCATAAGCGTCACCTTTGAGTTGCCTGTCGGATCCCCTTGGGCGAACTAAAAGCACAAAATTTTGACCATATTTGGTAACAAAGTGTTGCCCATATTGTCGTGTGACGGGTATAAATAACGATGCCTATCCTAATCTCGTCCTATTTCTGGTGGTTGCACAGAGCTATCGTAACCTTTGTAATATTTCAGTGCCTCGGTACGAACTACTTTTGAATTCACAATGGCCGATGAAGATGTAGCTGCTTTGGTTGTGGACAATGGTTCCGGTATGTGTAAAGCTGGATTTGCAGGAGACGATGCTCCCCGAGCTGTGTTTCCATCGATCGTAGGTCGTCCTCGTCACCAAGGCGTCATGGTTGGTATGGGCCAGAAAGATTCGTACGTCGGCGATGAAGCCCAAAGCAAACGTGGTATCCTGACACTGAAATATCCCATCGAACACGGAATCGTTACTAACTGGGACGATATGGAGAAGGTAATTTTAACTTTAGCATGTGATCTTTAGTAAATATTGTGTAGCTTACACGCCAAAATGTGATTTCCTTGCAGATCTGGCATCACACCTTCTACAACGAACTCCGAGTCGCTCCCGAAGAACACCCAGTTCTACTGACAGAGGCTCCTTTGAACCCCAAAGCAAACAGAGAAAAAATGACTCAGGTATTTTTCTTTTTGTTGGAAAAAATTGTTTTTGCCACAAGTAACTAACCGCCCCACCCCCAAATTTCAGTTATTAACGAGAAGACACCGCCCATTAAGATCACGGATGGTTCATTTATTGATCAACTGAACGACTCAACTTGGCGAGAATTTTAAATGTTCGGTTAAATTTATTTATTGTGATTTAGCTTCATACATATTCATGATTTATTACGCTTTGTTGAGGTGCGGATCTTGATTTTGAAACATGGCTTACTTACATGTTTCCCTTAAGTCAACGCGGAAATTTTGATTTCTTGTTTAAAACTTGGTTGGAATTTCTTGAAAATTTATTGGCTAGATTTGATTTACCGTACTTCGAATTGCGAAATTTGCCGTCGACCGTTCAACTTAAAGTGCGAGTCTAGTGTGTTCGAAGGATGCCGGTTTCTCCTAATATGGTATTGGTTTTTTGGCATAAGCTCAACTTGTTTGTTTTTCTAGGGATTAAAATCTGCCTTAAAATTCTTTTTATATTCTATTAAGTTATGCGGTCACGTAGGCCAAGATTTTAGCGGAAAAAGTTTAATTTCAATTTCTACTAGGTCATTTGAGTTTTTATTAATGTTCTTTTTTCTTTGTTAATCATTCCAGATCATGTTTGAGACATTTAACACTCCAGCCATGTATGTTGCCATCCAGGCTGTACTGTCTCTGTATGCCTCTGGCCGTACCACTGGTATAGTCATGGACAGTGGTGATGGTGTTACACACACAGTGCCTATCTATGAGGGTTATGCCCTGCCCCACGCCATCCTGCGTCTTGACTTGGCTGGTAGAGATCTAACTGACTACCTCATGAAGATCCTCACCGAGAGAGGCTACTCTTTCACCACCACAGCAGAGCGTGAGATTGTTCGTGACATCAAGGAGAAGCTGTGCTATGTTGCCCTTGACTTCGAACAGGAAATGGGCACTGCTGCATCAAGCTCCAGCCTTGAAAAGAGCTATGAGCTTCCTGATGGCCAGGTGATCACTATTGGAAATGAGCGATTCCGATGCCCTGAGGCCATGTTCCAGCCTGCCTTCCTTGGTATGGAAGCTGCTGGTATCCATGAGACCACCTACAACTCCATCATGAAGTGCGATGTGGATATCCGTAAGGATCTGTATGCCAACACTGTCCTCTCTGGTGGTTCAACCATGTATCCAGGTATTGCAGACAGGATGCAGAAGGAAATTGCTGCTTTGGCACCACCAACCATGAAGATCAAGATCATTGCTCCACCCGAGCGCAAGTACTCTGTATGGATCGGAGGTTCCATTCTGGCTTCACTGTCCACCTTCCAGCAGATGTGGATCTCCAAGCAGGAATATGATGAATCTGGTCCTGCCATTGTACATCGCAAGTGCTTCTAAGCTCACTTTGTGAACTTTGAATTTGAGAACAGTTGTGTTTGGCTTGTTTGATTTGAAGAGCACAAAGAAGTGTGGAACGAAAACTGTAATGGATATGTGTCGCGACTGTAAATTTTTGTATAGAGTATGGATGATTAAACGGAAAGTGGCAATGGAATATTGTGGACGCTCTCGAATGGAGTTTTTTTAAGTGTAAAAATTAATAAAACTCTGATGTGTAATTCAAGTGTTATTTTCTGTCTTGGGTTGTGGGTTGCAAAAAGTAGTAGATAGGTTCCCTCTGCTAGGAGGAAAATAGTTAAGTTTTTCCTACCTTTCTCGCAGTTTGTTTCAGTGAAAGAGTAGACTGCTCTCTGTTTTTAAGATATGTAGTACTAGGTTGAGTTTTTTTGGGATCATTTTATTAGCACTTTTTTTCATCACTTTTCATTGCAAATATATTTGGCCTTTTTATGACTTGCATTTGTAGATTTTCCCAGAAAATATTCATGGAAATAATTTTGGTGAAAGGAAGGGAAGAGTCATTGTGAGAAACAGCTTTTCGTTCTTCGTGCTGCACCCTTATAAGTAACAACCCTCTGTCCAACTTAAGGGAAAGAAAATTCGCAGGCCTTGAAATGAGGGCGCTTGGTGCAAAAACGCGTTTGAGGGAAGGCAGAAAACTTACGCCCGTTGCATGACATAGTATTTAAGATTTCATATGGTGTCAGACCAAGGGACGGGTGCGAGACAAGAAAAGTCAGCAGTCTTTATATTTCTTCGCTAATAGGCCCTTTCCCTGGTCCCAGAGGTTATTCTTAATTTTTTCCTCGCGAAAGTGAGAGCGACCCGCGAAGCGGCGAGGAGAGAGAGAGAAAAACCGCTGGTAACCTTGGCCTCGAATCTCACCAAGATAAACCTCTGGGATCAAGGTGATAGGCCCTCGTTTCTCGTAGCTCTTCGATTTGCGCATGTGTTACACGCCAAAGAAAGTTACGACTAAGAGGTCCACGCAGTCTATAAACGTCGAACTTGCGTGAATCGATTAACTCTTCGGGCCTAATTTACTTCTAGGCCCATCGAGAAAGTAAAGAAAAAGAAATGAGGCCAATTCTACACAAAAATAGGCATAACCAGGAGCCCATCAAATTCCTGGCGTCACATGTAAAAACATCAAGTTGCTCCCGAGTTCCTTTAGCCTGCGAAAACAGCCGTTTCTCCTCGCTCTTCGCAGCTGACGGCGTTTCACGAGGTAGTTGTAACTGAAATTTCGTGTTGCTCGAGCGAGGAATTACGACGGGGGGAAATGCTTACGGCTCAGGTCAATTCCAACGTTACCTACCCCGCCCCGCTCAGGGCGTTGTTCACTTTTTCTTCTGAAAGCTGCAGATGCCCCACTGTTGGGCCAAAAATGTGTTCCAGTGCCCACCCTGGGGACGAAATAAAAGGCATGTTTCCTCAAAAGAGGCTAAAAAAAAAAAACAACGCAAATTTGCGCAGTGTAAATTGAAAACCTCCTTGTGGACAGTCCTCTTCGTAACTCTTCGTGTCTTTCGCTTTATAAGCAGAAGCCTGGGTCGAATGCTGAGTAATTTTACCCATAATTCTTTTAGAGCCCTCTGACAGAAAGAAACCATCAAAATGGCGACTTCTACAGATATGAAAGGAAATGTGGTGAAAATGGAAGTGGACTACAGTGATACTGTTGACAAAAGAATACCAGAATGCGAAGCATTAGCCGCTGTAAGTTAGAACTGGTTTTAGTGGTTTTTCTTCTTGAGAAAAATGGCTTTAACTTAACACGTGCCGGTCTAGTAACGAACTATGTACGAGAACCGGTTTATTTCTTTTTAATTTAGATCCTTTAAGCTTCTTTTATAAGGAAAAATAGACAGATCAAAGCTTTATTTATATTATTCCTGTTGTTCGCTAGGATGGTAAACTCAGTGATGCTCTGGACATTCTTCTTTCTTTGGAAAAACAGACTAGGACGGTGAGTGGTATTGCTAAATTAAAAACAGCATGTCATGCATGTTATAAACTAAAGTTGTGGATTGATTAGATATTTCTTGAACCTTTACAATAATATTAACTACCTTTGGTGCCAGAGTCTTTTCATACGCAGTTTCAGGCTTTGTCAAGTCTTTATTTTGACCCGCACGAAAAGACCCAGGGCAAGACAGCCATTCCTTTGATATTATATTAGGTCAATCCCACTTGCAAAACATC